TAACACCTGAATGAAAAATGAACAAATAGCAATTTGGTGCATTTGAAAGTATCAGGAAAATATTCCACAGGGAGAAATTACCATATATTAATTCAAACAAATAATGATGTATGAGCTATTTGGTAAACCACAATATTTTCTTATGGCTAGAATTTAATACACACACATATTTTATTAAATTAAACTGTTTAACATAACTTTGTTTCTCGTGTACCATGCAACATAAGTTTACAAAAACAACAGCCACTTTAAACATCTGTGTACATATGTGCAACATAAATATTTAAAACCATCTTTTATTTTTCAGCTTTCCCAGGGCCTCTTTCATATCCTTGTTCCTTAAGCTATAAATCAGAGGGTTCAACATGGGAATCACAAGGGTGTAAAACAATGAGATCATTTTGTCTTGATCAAGGGAGTAGAATGAACTTGGCCGGAAATACATGAAGAGCATAGTTCCCTGGAAAATTGCAACTGCAGTCAAGTGGGAGGTGCACGTCGAGAAAGCTTTGAACCTTCCCTCAGCAGAGTGGATCTTTAAGACTGATCGGATGATGTAACAATAAGAGACAAGAACTCCTGAAATGGAATTCAGTTCAATAAAACCAAAAGTGGTGAATAACACTAGCTCATTGACCTGTGTGTCTGAGCAAGATAGCAGTAAGAGAGGAGGGATATCACAGAAGAAATGATTAATCTTATTGGACCCACAGAAACATACGCTGAATGTTAATACAGTATGTATCAAAGCATCTGCCATACCCAGCAAGTAAACCCCAGCCAAGAGTAGGAAGCACACCCTCCTGGACATGTTTGTTGTATAGAGCAAGGGGTTGCTAATGGCCTTGTACCGATCAAAGGCCATCACTGCCAGCAGAAGACACTCAGAATCTACAAAGCTACAGGGTATCATGAATTGCAGAGCACAGCCGTAGAAGGGAATTGATTTGTTCTTGGCCAAGAGGTCCACCAACATCTTGGGCCCAATTGCAGTAGAATAGCAGAGGTCACAGAAAGAGAGGTGGCTGAGGAAAAAATACATTGGTGTCTGAAGCTGCAAATTCATTCTAATTAAAATGATCATTCCAAGATTTGCCATAATAGTTATGAGATAAACAATTAGAAATATGATGAAAAGGGTCATTTTGATATCAGGGTTATTCGTTATTCCCAAGAAAATGAATTCATTCAAGGAGGAGCAATTTCTTCCATCCATTCTTCTTCACTCTTGTCTAAACTTTTGAAAAAAAAAAGGATCAAAAAATTATTAATATATGTTTAACTCTTCTGTGCATTACAAAATACTTGTATGGCAGAACACCATATATTCTTGTAATTTTCCTTTTTATCCTCAGTAAAGCACCCAGTCCTGTGTCACATTTGAAGGAAACATTGTGTTTATTTCATAATAATGAAAAAAGTCTGAGACTGTCAGTACAGAAAATTTGAGTTAAATTTAGATGATGTCCATGAGTTATTTGACTTTCTACAAGTTCTTTAATGTCCTGGGTCTTAACTTCCTTATCTCAGGAAGTATATTTTTAATGTACTGAAATTTCATTACATCTGCAAAATAATGTGGAAGAAACACCAATCTTAGAGAGACCAGGCTGTCAGATATAAGATGAAGCATTTACTGTGCTTGAAAACATTCACACAGACACATAAAAAAAGTATTACAATTATTATGTTTCTCAAAAATCAGGATTGGTTTAAAAGACCATATGTTAGTTTTACAAACAGTGAGCATATCACCAATAATAAGGAGAGTTATTCTACTCTTCTTGGTCTTTGTTGTCTTTAGCATTTGATAAGACATAAAATAAGTATTATTGACCATTTTTCTACAAAGTTATTAAGGCTTTGTCAGAATGCTGATTACCTATTTTTAGTAGTTGTCTGATGACGAAGGATTAATATCCTGACATGTCAAAGAAAAAGTGCTAGAAAGAAGTGAAAACAACAGAATTTAGCACATACATTTACATCTGTTTGTATTTTAAATGGACTTTTCTCTTTAAAAATGAAAATGAGATGAGAAACTATAAATTTCTCTGAGATATATAGGCTTCTCTTTCCTGCGTAAGGGTGTATTTACGTATGTGTGTGTCATGGGTTGGAACGTGTGCCTGTCTCTATGCTGATATGTGAGAATTGGAATGTGGGTAATGGATGTTCGTGTTTTTAAGCCTAAGCAGATATGGCATGAAGTTCATATGAAGTTGACTTTGCACAAGTGGCCATTTGTAATGTGGCACCATAATTATCTTTGAAATAAAACAAACAAAAGACACCTAAACTTTATGCATAGACTTGCAGAATAATATAAGTAAAAACTTACTCATGAATCTAGATTAAAATAAATAATTAAAAACATTATTTGAGGAGACGAAGAAGTTCAGCCATATTCTTCCAGCTCTGAAGAAAAAAAATATCATTTTTGGCCTACAGTTGCAGTTTATTAAATTGAGCAAGTAGGCATAAAGTGATTCATTTAGAAATCTCTCATGGTTTTCTAAAAGATAAGTTTCCTCCCACTGTATTATTAAATTTTGGAGACTCAGAAACCTACCTGCAATGAGCAGGTCTCTGGCAGTTGAACACTAGGAACACGGCATTTTATCAGGTAGCATCTGGGAGTTAAACATCCGAAGCCTCAGCACTCTGACTTCAGTATTAACCAAATATGTCAGTAATTACATTTCTGGTTCTGTATTTCCCCTGTGAATATACCAACATCTTTAGCAAAAGTTGGGCTTTATTACTTCATTATCATTCCCTAATTTATCTATGTCAGGAAGAAGTGGCAAATTATTTCTATGATGTATGTCACAGTTCCCATGAATCTATACCCTCCCTCTCTAGTCAAAGCAGAAATTTTATGAAATGCAAACAGACCCACCTACTCAGTTCTCTTTTTTATTGCTCATTTTGTTTCTACATTTTTGAGACATTCTCTTTCCTTACCTCACTGAGAAATGTTACTGTTCTTGCAGGTTATTAAATTGAGCAAGTAGGCATAAAGTGATTCATTTAGAAATCTCTCATGGTTTTCTAAAAGCTAAGTTTCCTCCCACTGTATTATTTAATTTTGGAGACTCAGAAACCTACCTGTGATGAGCAGGTCTCTGGCAGTTGAACACTAGGAACATGGCATTTTATCAGGTAGCATCTGGGAGTTAAACATCAGCACTCTGACTTCAGTATTAACCAAATATGTCAGTAATTACATTTCTGGTTCTGTATTTCCCCTGTGAATATACCAACATCTTTAGCAAAGGCTGGGCTTTATTACTTCATTATCTTTCCCTAATTTATCGATGTCAGGAAAAAGTTGCAAATAATTCCTATGATATATTTCACAGTTCCCATGAATCTGTACCCTCCCTCTCTAGTCAAAGTAGAAATCTTATGAAATGCAAACAGACCCACCTACTCAGTTCTAACTCTTTTTTATTGCTCATTTTGTTTCTACATTTTTGAGATATTCTCTTTCCTTACCTCATTGAGAAATGTTACTGTTCTTTGATGGAATTTTTAAATTTGTTATTACGGTGCAATTCCTCTGCTACAAAATTCACACTTTTTAAGTGTACACTTGTTTAGGTTTTAGTATATTCACAAGATTGCACAACCACTGCCTTTATCTAATTCCAGAAGATATTGCATCACCCCAATAAGAAACCCATACCTGTTAGCAGTCACTCCCCCTTTTCCTACTAACCCCTGGTAAACACTAATCTACGTTGTGACTCTATGTGCCTGTTGTGGACATCTCAAATAAACAGAATCATATAATAATATATTTTTTTCACTTAGCATAATATTTTCAGGGTTCATTCACTTTCTTACATGTGCCACAATTCCCTTCCTTTTTATAACTGCATAATATTTCATTTTATGGATATGCCATCTTTTCTTGAGTCATTCAAGGTTTGATGGACATTTGTGTCATTTCTACCTTTTGGCTATTGTGAAAAAGGATGCTATGAACATTCAGTTTAATGCATCTTACTCCCATCCTTCAAATGCATGTTATCCACTCACATTTTATTGACTTTATGATTCTGTTAAATTCTCTACACTTACTATACTAGTTTTTGAATATGTTTATTTTATTCTAGTTAGAGTCTTCTACTCTATTTAAGGATTTAGCAATAATATTATTGTTTTTTTTTTCTTTTAATATTCCCTGGTACAAAGCAAAAGATATTTGCAAAGATAAATAGTTATTGTTAAGTATTTTAGGCTTCTTAAAATGCAGGATGGTCAACAAAGAGTAGAACTGTATTAATAATGGGATTTTTTTTTCTACTAATATAGCTCATATGTACAAGGATAATACATTTTAAAAATTTTCACGGACGATGATTTTTCTAAAACAGTTTTTCACTTTTTTGTTCAGAATAATTTTAATTTGCTACTATCCATACTAGTTCTATGAGAAATTGAAAAATGCAGGAATTTCTCTTGTGTGTCCTTACCCAAATCCTTATGAATTGTCTTCCTAATGTAGAAGATCAGTTGTCTAAGCTTAATTTATTGAATAGTCAATTCTTCCAAATGTTAACTTTTTATTATGCTTGAATCTAACTCTGGCTTATCTGTTCCGGTCAACTAATCAATTTTTAACCTAGTTCATTTCTATTATTTTATATTAAAAAGACAAATCTCCCAACAGTCTTTTTTTGTTGTTTTTATTTATTTTAAGTAATTTGGTTGGCTACTTCCATCATTGTTTCTCAACACACATTTTAATTCAACTGGTCATGTTCCAAAAAAAAAAAAAAAGAAAGAAAAAACTATTGGAAGTTTTATTGAAATTGCATTGATGCTATCAATAAAATTGGGAAAAAGTGAATCAATAAATGATGAAATGACATATTTGTGATATTAAATCTTCTCAACCATGTATATAATGTAACTTTATATTCATTTAAGTCTCATTAATGTTCTTAAACTTATGAAAAGTTCATAAATTTTCTTTTACATCTTTTAATAAATTTCCTTGTAGACATTTTTGGTTTCCCCACAACATCAGTGGACATGGATTTTTATCAATACTTATAATTTTCACAGTACATAAAATTATGTCACACCTTAAATCAACAATTTGCATAGATTTGGTTAACACTGAGGTGTCTTGGCATTGGTACTTCTTTTATTAATTTCCTTTTCATATACATTACCTCATTTTATTGGCATGTTGAAAATCACTTTATGTGCTGTTTCTGGAGTGTGAAAATGTTATATCTCAATGTTGTCAAATTTATTAGAGTTTCTCCCTTCTCTACTTCAATATTACATAATAATTAATAAAAATTTTCTTTTACCTCACTTAGTTTTTTATATTTAAAGTTTTGTGTATGCATACAAGAATGTATGTGTGGGTGAGATTTTATAGAGAAATAGGTGTGTTTATGTGTCCCTGTGTATTTATGTGTGCAAGTTTATAAAATTTAAATCCACTTTTCAAATGATTTTTTGTTCTCTTGAAACTGATGTCTTTAAACTCATTTTTCAAAAAAACCAAACTACTTCACAAATATGATGTATCATGCTTATTATATTTGCTGTTCAAATATTTCCATATTTCTAGACTCTTCCTTTGATTATTCCAGAAACAATACACATTATTTTAGTTCACTTATTTAGATTATGATATTCAGTAAAAAGCTTACCACTCAATATTCTTATTAAGA